CAGGCATCCTCAAACTACAGCCCACGGGCCACATGCAGGTGTTTTTGCCCGTTTGTTTTTTTACTTCAAAATAAGATATGTGCAGTGTGCATAGGAATTTGTTCATAGTTTTTTTAAACTATAGTCTGGCCCTCCAATGGTCTGAGGGACAGTGAACTGGCCCCCTGTTTAAAAAGTTTGAGGACCCATGCAATAGAGTAATAATAGTACCTATTTCATGGGTTGTTGAAAAATTAATATCTGCCAAGTACTTTCACGTTGGCTAACACATGGTGAGTGCTCCATAAACATCATCCAGTATTATTAAAGGGCCCTCCACAACTGGATTTCAACTTTTATAGCTTCACCTAAATTCATTTAGCAAATATTTAAGCACCTACTATCTACTAAGCACTGTGTCTATGTGGTTCTTGCTCTTCCAGGGGCTTACAGTCAGGTGGGTGAGACAGGTAAGAGCCAATAATAAGCCAGGGGGAGATGCTCCACTAAGGGTGGGACATTGTACTCTAGGACCCCACAGCAAGGGAACATAATCCAGTTCTGGGGTGGCGCTCAGGGAAGGCGTTTCATGGAGGAAAGGTTATCTAGACTGAGAGTACAAGAAGGAAGAAAGAAGGTGGAGTGAGCATGAAAGAACACTCTGTCACTCTTACCCAACTACCAGCCATATGAAATTTTCCTTCCCTGACACCCAGTGACTTTTCATACCTCTTACCTGAATTGTACTGACTTGTGTGTGCCTGACAGCTCCCCATTTACCTGTTCCCCTACCACAAAGCAATAAGTGTTTACTGAATAAATTTACTCTTTCCCTAGTTCCTCTCGGGACTAAAGACTCACATATCCAAAATGGTGGCCTCAGCTCTGGGACCAGGACTGTGCTAATCAACTCCCAGATTCAGCAGGCCCACGCTCAGTTTACAGTGTCTGACCAGTTCACATTGTCCAAACTTGCAGATACAAGAAAGGATGGCCCTAACTTTGTCTCTGTGGTATTCACTTTTGCCTATGAATCAAGAACTCCAAGCAAGGCTGGCATGGTGCTCACGTCTGTAATCCCAGCACTTTGGGAGGCTAAGGTGGGAAGAGCCCTTGAGGCCAGGAGTTTGAGACCAGCGTAGGCAACACAGCAAGACCCCATCTCCACAAAAAGTTAAAAAATTAGCTCGGTATGGTGGCACACATCCAAAGTCCCAGCTACTTAGGAGGCTGAGGTGGGAGGGTTGCTTGAGCCCAGGAGTTTGAGGTACAGTGAGCTATGATCACAAGGCAAGTTACTGCACCTCTCTGACTCACATCCATCACCCCTCCAACTACCTTACCTATCTAGCTAATTCATACAGAGCTTTGGGACTCCATCACCAAGCCCTAACGCAACCATTTTAACAATCGAACAGTTGCTTATAGTATCTCTCACAGGTTTTGGTTATGTTTTAAAGGAATCTTATGAAAACAAGATTCATTCAAGCTATTCCTCCTTTTTGTTTAAAATGAACAATCTGGAGTTGGCCAGCAATTTTATTCATTATAGTTAGCATTTCATTTCTCATCCCCACAAGATATATATTCTTTCGCCACAATTTAAGAACTTCTGAGGAAGAGAGGAAAAACCCACAGGCTTTATTGGAGACAGAGGATTTACCTGGCTCAAACCTTGCCTAACTTTGTAATACAAAACAAACAAAATTGAGGCAATTCTCCTTTAAGTTCACCAATGCCAAAACACAACAATAAGCTTTACTGCCATGCACTAGGTAAAGAGCCAGTCATTATTTAATATAAGGAAACACAGGGGAAAACATGGACCTTCTAATGTGCACCAGACCTGGGTTTGAACAACATCAACACTTCATAGGAGTTTCCTCTTCTAAGAAGTGAAGATAATAGCCACTGCCTTCCATGGTGGTTATGGCAACTGCGGGCACAGTATGTGTCCAGCAGGGCCTGGCACACAATAGGGGCTCAACAGACGTGACTTCCACTTCACTTCTCAGATAATCGGTGGGTAATGAAGCTTTTACAGTAAAAATAAATTTAGGAAAAAATATCTATGACAACTAAATTAGTCTTGTGAATTCTTAATCAGATTAAAGGTGGCAGCACATGCCAAAACTTAAGACTCTTATAATAAGATGCCATTTTCTCTTCAAACTGCCATTGAGAAATGAGAAGCCTTCCTTATCTTTTTGCTACCAGAATTCTTGAAGTTTGGCTTTGATTACATTTTGAATAGAAACTGTTACAGCCATGAAAGCTTACTAATAAAGATATACTTGAACATACACATAAAATAAAGATATACTTGAACATACACATAAATACAACCCTCCCTAAATACAATACAAATGCTTAAAATGGGATTAAAGTATGAAAACAGGGCCCATGCTTCTCAAATTATAAGGTCAGAGTGATTAAAAAAAAAAAAAAGACCAATCATAGGGAAACTAAGAACAATCAGCAAAATATTTTTGGTATGTATATATGCTCACCAGTTGTATTTCACATAAAACTGTGACAAGTAAGACAGTTATCCCAAGAGCTCCTTTAGACATGAAAATATGCCCCAATAAAATCTGTTATGGTTAACATTTCATTATTTGCCCAGATATGTTGTACACAGAATGCTTGAAAATTCTTGCACAATATTCCTTATCATTCTAATGAATTAGCTGTAGTGTTTGCTTCCAGAAATATCACACCATTAATGGTCTTATAACTCCATAGCATTATAACAAATTAAACACTCTTAAATAATTAAAAAATATTTAAAGGCCATGAGAGAGCTTAAGTGTTTAAATTCATGAATTTCCCAAGGTCAACTCCAATGTGCTTACATGACATGCATTTTCAAATTTAAATTCTACATTTCTTTAAGAGACGCATCTAAGAAGTCCACGATAAAGTCGGCCAACAAGGACAATAACCATGATAAATCACCAGACCTTTCAAGTTGTTGCTTTCCATCCAGGACATGCTTTCATATCATCCCAGTTAATGCCTCCTTGGCAGGCAGGGCAGCAGTGATCATCAACATTTTACAGGTGGGAAAAGGACTTTGAGTTTAAGGTCCTGCCCAAGACCTTACAGCTAGTAAGTGGTGTGTAGGGCAGGAAAAGAGGAAGACTTAAACTCAGGTCTTCTGAGTGGCACGTCCACTAACAGGATCAATCTTCTGTGGGGTTAACAACTCAGCTTTGTCATCTGGTTGCAAAACTCTAAACACCACAACTCCCCAATCATTGATCACTCAACTGCCTATCCCTGGACCCTTCAACTCCCACCCCAGGAGGAAGGCCACTGCATCCAGATTGTATCTAATTTCTTCACTGCAGCCTTTCCAATCAGATAAGCAAGGCTTACAAAAGGGAATGCAGTCCTTCTCAATCTACGTGTAATGTAGGTATGACTAGTGACAGGGGACACTGAGACACAAACACAAAGGTAACATGGTCAACACTATAGCCACGGTAGCAACTGCTGTTGGGGTCCCAGATTTTCAATTCTCTGTCCCCCCACACAATACTTCCCACCATGTTTCTACCCTAATACAAGACCATGGACACATATAGGGTTTAGGTATGTTAAAATATTTATCTAAAACCCTATGAAGACTCAAACTAAATTCATTTCTTCAGCATACAGAAGATTCTTTTCGGTACAATGATCCTGTAAGACCCTGAGATACCTTCTTATCAAAGATTAAGTCAGATTTAAGATGGCCTCAGTGATAGTGTGATTTATCAGAACCTCATTGTACTCCACCTATACAATGAGATTGGACTTGAATACCTCTAATAAAGTTTTCACCTTACAAAAATAGTTAACTTTTAAAAATTGATTAATTCACAAACGACATTTATAAACTCACCTAACCAGGCTAATAGTAAACAGATATCCCATTTCTAAAACAAACTTTAGAAATAAGAGCTAAATGTATTCATGTGTATTCTCATTTGAGGATAATAAACTGTAACTAAAATACTTGTTATAGTTCATGCCTTTAATGCACATGCTTAACATACTGTAATTTTCCTAAATATTACTTTCCTCAATGCACAATTTTTAAAGAATAAATATGTATGCCTGGGCCGGTAGGGATACCCCGTTGCTAACTTACTAAAATTTATGAAGCGAAGTAAAGACTGTACAGAGATTGACTAAAATGCAACAGCAGACAATTAAGTTAGTTTTCTAAATGATCACAAAGTTCAACTCCCAAAACAGTGGGTAAGGTGCTTTCCAATCAAGGGCAGACTTCATCACTTACCTATAGGAAGGAACAACACTTTTAAAATGAACTGCAGAAAAAAAATCTGGAATCTCACAGCATTTCCTTGGAAAGTTTTATTTCAAGTCAGACATAAAAAGTTCAGAGGTATGTAGGAAAACATTTTAGGTGCAGTCACCAGAGAGCATTCTACACACTTTCACTTTTGAATCCTTCACAAGAGAAGTTCCATTAAATTAGAGGCCCCTTACCTCTCTCTCTGAGGCTAATCCACCTGCAACCAACACAGCTCTATGCTCAACGGGCTACAGCCTAGACTAGCAAAATGTAAGCACAATGAGAAGTGAAAAATCTATTAGGTAATGATTATCTTATTTAAAAATTCCCAATGCCCTATTCAAATCACATTCACCCTTGGGCATTCCATTCCCTTGCAAAGTAAAAAGTACTAAAGTGCCTCTACTAGGCTATAGGCCTGGGCAGAGGCCATGTCCACAATGACTTCCCACTCCTCCTTCCCTACCACCACTGATGGTATATGTGGCCAATATTTCCATTTTGAATGGGATGAGGGAATGATCTCTACATTGAACAGTAGGACGAAAGTGTAAAACCTTCCACCAGTATAACTGGGGACACCTGAGTCTTTAAAAGGGTACAATTACCAAGCCATCAAGTTACAAGACTATGTCTAGATCTGGTAACAGCAGGAACAACCAAGATGCTGGCATGCCTTGGCTCAACTGCCTTTGGAATACAGGCCTGTAGTTTGGTAATTGGCAGTTGACAGGCTGTAGGGCCTGTTGGTCTGTAATAACAGTGTGGCCATCAGAGGCTCATAGCTAAATATGGTAAGTGTCCTCATCCAACATGCGGAGAGGAAATAGAAGTTTAACCCTCAATTCAACATTAGTTTTACAAATAAAGGGCCTGTCAGCTGGCACAAAATAGGAGCTCAAAATTTGTGGGCTGGGAATGGTGGCTCACGCCTGTAATCCTAGCACTGCAGGAAGCCAAGGCAGGAGGACAGCTTGAGCTCAGGAGTTCAAGACCAGCCTAACCAAAAGCAAGACCCCCGTTCTCTACAAAAAATAGAGACATGGCATGGTGATGTCCCAGCTACTAGGGAGGCTGAGAGGCAGGATGATGGCTCGAGCCCAGGACTTTGAGGTTTCAGTGAACTTAAGATGTCACAACTGCTCTCTAGTCAAGGTAACAGAGCGAGACTCATCTCAAAAAAACTAAAATGTATTTATGCTCAAAACAATTTTAGCACTGTTGTACATAAATCCATTGCACAGGTATGAATAACCAATGGCCTCCTTACGAATTTGATGTGTCTTTTTAAGCAAAATGCACCAGAAGAGAATTGCTTAGATGAATGGTTCTCAAGGTGGCGCTCCTGGGGCCAGCAGCAGCAGCAGCAGCAGCAGCAGCAGCACCTGCACACTTGGTAGGAATATAAATTCTCAGGCCCCACCCCAGACCAAAGGAATCAGAAATGCTGGGAGTTGGGCCCAGTGACTGTATGGAAACAAGCCCTCCAGGTGGAGTGTGATACATACTTAAGTTTGAGGACTGCTAGCTTAGAAGTCTGAGAACAAAGACATTCAAGTGGAAAAGTACAAGATATTTATAGGAAACAAGGAATGGAGAGCACTCAGCTTAGTTAGGTAACAAAGAGTGTAAGAGGATGTACTAGAAATAAAGATAAAAGGCAGGTAAAAGCCAGGAAATTCAAGACATTAAGTGCTAGCCTGGGAAGCCCAAACTCTAAGTGAAAATTGGGAGCTCCTGAAAAGAGGCAGGAAGTGAAATTGTCAGAATGGCGGGTTAGGAAGAGCTGGGAAGATCAGGTGGAATAAAGCTGATCCGAGCAGGCTGCACACGGCCAAGGCAGGGGTTCGGGAGGTTCTCGAACTGGAATGTTCACCAGGACTTGGCAACACAGACATCTCACTGGAGTGTATGAGGAACCAACAACACGTGTCAAAGGAAACTGTCCATCAGGTGGCTGGAATAATGGGACAGTAACTACAGAGAGAGGACACGGAGCCAGAAAAACAAATTATAGGTGAAGTGTGTGAAAATGACAGTCTGAAGCCAGGAAGTCGGGTGACACTGCCAGGAGGGAAGGAATGTAAAGGGGGAAAAAAAACGAACAGAATTCTACTGTGAACATATCTCCTCTCTCAGTCACTACCCTGTCCCTAAATTAACTGTGGCCTCCACAACAGAACCATCCACATCCCCAAATGGGAAATCAGGAAGGAACATAGGTTAGCATGGAGTTATGGAAGAGAAATGGGTTAATTTAAGCACAAAACCTTTGCTTGAAACAATACTGATTTTAATCCAGTTTTCACTAGAATTAAGAATTGAAGGTGGGGATTACCAATCATAATTGTTTCAGTGGAATCCCTGGTTCTAGTAGTTACACAAAAGGTTGCTTTACCTTGTCAGTGAGAATGAGCGTGTTGGAAATGAGGAGGCTGCAGAAGAGGAGAAGATGAGAAAAGTGCTCACTCCCACAGTGATCAAAACCCACGGGAGAGCCCTCTGTGCCAGCTCCCTGCCAGCCAGTCTTCCCCAGCGGACCATGGCCTTCGGAAGACTGGCCAAGAGCAAGCAAGGGAGGCAGCTCCAGTAAAAGAGGCCACCTCTGTGCATCCTTAAGTCACAAATAGGTTGTGGACCAAGGACAGACAACTGATCTTTGACAAAGAAGCAAAAGTCGTTCAAGAGAGAAAAGATAGTCTTTTCAACAAATGGTGCTGGAACAACTGGGTATCCACATGCAAAAAGGAAGTGAATCTAGATTCAAACTTTACACCCTTCACAAAAATTAACCCAAAATGGATCAGAGACCCACGTATAGAAGGCAGAAGTATAAAACTCCTAGGAAATGAACATAGGAGAAAATATAAATGACTTGGGTATGGCAATTACTTTTGAGATACAATCCCAAAAGCACAATCCATGGATGAAATAATTGATGAACTAGACTTCATTAAAATTAAAAACTTCTCTGCAAAAGACAGTGCCAAGAAAATGAGAAGGCAAACCAGACTTGGAGAAAATATTTGCAAAAAACATATTTGACAAAGAACTGTTTTCCAAAGGTTGTATAGCAGGTGGTCTGCCCTCTTACTTGATGAGGCCACCTGGCCACTCTAACTACTATTTATTTGGCTTTCGCTTCATCTTTCCTCCCTTTCCCAGCCCCATGAGCTTTGCTTTTACAGGATCCTTTCACCACTGACACTCAAATATTTCCCACAACAACGCATCTCAAATTAAGAGAAACAACTGGGAGAACAGATTTGGTAAGGAAGAAATTTGCTTTTTAGACACGGTTAGAACAATTTTGTTATATCTATTAAGGGATGCTGCACCGTTGGGCCATTTAACAACTATGAAATAAACAACGGTGGTAATCGAGTGGCCTTCGAACAACAGCCACCTGGAGAATAAACTCAATCAAGGCCACCCCGCACACCCTATGCAGTGAGGCTGCTGAGAATTCCCACTTCCCCATGTCCTGGGGGAACCCAGTGCTTGTTTATACGAGGGTTCCACAATGTGCATGCCCAGGGGGTATTGCCACAGCACCAAAGGTACCCTGGTTATGTGTTCTTCCTCTCTCCAGCTCTGTTGTGAAGGGGTACCAGTCTTCATGTCTCCTGCATGTTAGATATACATACAATTTCATGCCTAGAAGAAAATCACCTTTGCTTGGGCAAGCACATACTGGGCACACTTTTACACGGACAACACGACATACTGGAAAATTAAAGAGTAAACAAACACACCTCAGGCTGATTGGCTGTATTTTCCTGCCAATGTGTGGAACTGCTTGGCCCAGTTTTGGAGAGCTATGTTCCTATTTTCTCTCTCTTTTTAGATCAAGGGGCTCTTGACCTGGTATAGGGACTGTAGGTATAGTTTCAAGGGATCCACAAACCTCCTAATTTTTTTTTTTGTAAAATCAAGTGGATGTTTATATCTTTCCTTAGATTCTCAAGGGGGTTTATGATCTATAAATAGCAATAAATACGACTATACTAAGTTCCACAGGGAAATCCTGAAAAACTCCTTCCATCTTAAAAGTCAAACCATAAAAATCATATACATAATAAAACCATGGTCTTAAAAACATAAAATCTGTCCTTTCCTATCCAAACATGTATTATGCATTTTATTATGTTCCACTATAAGATCATTTAATAATTCAGCTACATACTTGTTATGGAACAATTAAGTCATAGCACTTAACAAAACACTTTTCAATATATATCACTTAATCTTCACAATAAGCTGTGAATATCATCTATGTTGTACAAATACAGAGACAGACTCTATAGAGTTAAGAAATTTTCTCAAGGTCACAGTACTAGCAGGCTGAGGTTTGGACCATCTTCTGATGCCAAAATCCATGGTTACATTCTGTAAAATACCAGTTTAGAAAAATACCAATTGGACTACAGAGAAAAACTAGATCAGTGGTGGCCTAGGGCAGGGAGGGGTGACTGCTAATGGACACAAGTTTTTCAGGGGGGTGATGAAAAAGTTCTAATATTACATTGTGGCGATGGTCACTCAACTCTGCATATACTAAAAACCATTGAAATGTACCCTTTTTAAATGGATGAACTATATGGTATGTAAATTACATCAATAAATCTATTTTAAAAATCAGTTGAAAATTGAGGGGGAAAATAAATTCTCGATGTTTAGTCATCTTTAAAAGTAGTAATATCAGCTCAAACACTGGGCCTAGGTGTTTTGTTGCCCCAGGTATTTACAATTCATTTTCCATTAGGAAGCTCAGTACTACCTGGAAGAGAAGAGCTGGCTTACCAACCCTGGAATGATTCCAACTTGCTGAGAATTCTGCTGAAGAACTCGAGTTTCATCTATCCCTTTCTGCAGAATGGGGATTACAATATGTACTAGCACTCTATAACTCACACAGGTAAAAAAAAAAATAAATCAAGACAAAACTTAATACTTAAGAAGCTTTCATCACTAAATCATCACTGGCCATCCACTAAAACAAGGTAGGAGGGGCAAGGCCTATCGGAGGCACTATTTGGTCTACAGGCTATGTAAATAGCAAATTATACCAATGTCATGAGACATACTCATGAACATAGCAAATCAAGCTTCTTTAAACTACAGCTTCATTGTTCTCTTCAGAAATCTTCGATGGCTTCCTATTACTACTTATTCTATTAGACCCCATGTCCTGTGCCCGGCCCCACAACCCCATGTCATTTCCCACCCTTTACCATCAGACTTCCTCCACAAGGCAGGTCACCCACTTCTCTGTCTCCCACTCAACTCCAGGTTAGTGGAGATTCTCCAGCAACCCCTTCCTTTCTCTCCTCTAGCTGTCAAAATTCTAAATCTTTCAAGCCCTTCCTCAAGTTTCACCTGCTGGACCACTCAGCCCTGACTCTCCTCTCTCATGTTATCACATCCCACACAGTCCCCACTGGTCCTCGCATCAAATATGGCAATTTTGTTTCCATCATTAATCCTTGGGGAGATCCCACATAGCAAGCACCCAGCCCAGAAGTGAGCAGAAAGTAGATTGAGTCAGTAAATTACTGTAAATTTATTCCCTAATTACACTATGCAAAAGAGGTCCCAAATAAGCCAGTTCTTCCACTAACAATCCATGAATAATCTGGAAATTATCTTCATTTGTGACTTTTAAGATAATGTTTGCATTAAGAGATTTTCACTCAGGTACTTAACTAATGTGTACCACTTAGTTTACACAGTCTGGTTCACCAAAGCTTTGATTTATCGGAAAAAAAAAAAAATTTCCTAAAAGATAGGGTCTCACTTTGCCATCAAGGCTGGAATGCAGTGGTGTAATCATAGGTTGTTATAATCTCTAACTCCTAGGCCCAAGAGATCCTCCTGCCTCAGCCTCCCAAGTAGCTGGGACTACAGGCACATACGACCATACTTGGCTAATTTGTTTTTCAATTTTTTTAGAGAGAGGGTCTATGTTTTCCAGGCTGGTCTCCAACTCCTAGCCTCAAGCTATCATCCTGCCTTGGCCTTCCAAAATGTTGGGAATACCGTCATGAGCCACCATGCCCTGCCACCAAAGCTCTGATTTATTAAAATGCTTCATAAATGGATCTTGATTTACAGGGACTTAATCCATTTAAAAGTCACATTTACTCATTCATTTAGTAACTATTTCTTAGTACTTACTAGGTGTCAAGAACTTTGTCATAGAACCCTGTGCCTATCTCAAGAGGTGAAATTCAAAAGTTCTTTGTTGTAGGTTTACCTTTAAAAGATTTTCTCCATATATTTCAAGATGTAACTGAAAACACCTATAAAGGCAGCATACCTATTAACGAACGCCTGCTTGCCACAAAACCACCATTAGCCACACCTCCTTTGCTTAAACATTGTTCCTGGTTACCCAAATCTTGAGCCAGAATCACAAATCCCCTCCTTTCCCAAGAACCAGCGTAAATTCAGCTCCTTTCCTTCCACCCCATCTCCACCCACCAGAAAAACAGCATGTCTGAACCCTACCAAACCATTTCTAAATGACACACAGCTCTACCCTACACTTATAATCTTCTCAACCGCCAAGAACAGAATGGATCCTTCTCCCAGACGGGTTTCATGCAATTAGAACTGCTCTAACTACTCATGCGTACCAATTATGGGCTTTATTTACAAAGTACCCTGAATGTAGACATGGTTTAGACACACCCTAACATCTATCCTCAGGATGAGTTTAATGTATGTGTGTTCCTGCTGTACACATCTATCTTTCTTTAAAAAAAAATCCTCAGCCTGGCATTCTAGGACATTCCGACTACACAACAGTGTGTTCTCCTTGGTTTAGGGCAAGTCATCAAAGAGATAAAAATACTGGTCACTAAGAAATGGCATCATTCTTATATAAATACACCAACTGACCAGACATGTGGCAAAATGTTTAATTTATAAAATCCTAAAACTGGTTAAAGTGATAGAGGGGTGTTAAGGAGGAATAATTTCTATGTTTATTTTCTTTTAAACATAATAAAATTTCTAACTAAAGCTAACATGTAATTAGATAACTTCTCAAAGTATCAGCCCCAAAGAAGGGAACATAAGGGTGGGAAATAGGAAAAAACATGAAAAAATAATCCAAATCATAAACTTACTCTAGTTAAGTTTGACTTTCAAGTATGTCATTTTATCACCTTTACATGTGTGTGTATATGTGATATTTTGAGAATTCACTCCAAACAAGCCATATTTTAGCAACCAAAGCTAAAGAAGAAGTTGAAAGGTTTAACTTTCACTAAGTTTACCAATTTATTATAGTTCAGGCTAGAAACAGACTATTCTTAGACTAAGAAAATTTACACAATCTCAAACCGTCCCTGCAGCAGGCAAAGAAGTTAAATCTATGGATTCATATGGGTGCCTCAGTCTGCACCCAGGGTCAATTAAGGGAGTTTGAAGAGGAACAATGCAAAGACATTGGTGAAGAAAATGCTGTTACATTTGAAGAGTAAGTTTTATCTGGAACAACTGAGAAGTGGCTCCATTTTCTGAAAACTCTGAAAACTGTGAAGCATTACACAAAGGGAGAGACTGTAAATCTAGCCTAGTTTATTAAATTCTACCGAGGATACACAGTTTGTGTTAAATACTTGTGTAGCTCCCCTTGTACTGATATTTATTATCTGTGCACTTTGACCTGGTGGCTTCCAGCAGCTATTTGAATCATCCTTACTGCTCTGTGAACATGAAAGATAGAGAAATAAAGACAACAGAGCTACAGCACTTCACGCCTTGCCCTGTGCTCAATAAATTTGGTTAATTGATTGGAACTGGAACTAAACAAAACAAAGGATCCCTAATTTGTTCAAATGTAGCCCAGTGCTATACCAGCTACTCTTAATGGATGCTAACTGAATTCCAAGGGCTCCCCAGGATTCTAATGTCTAAGAAAGGAGACAAAACTAAGTCTGTATAATTGAAGAATCTGCATCATCCATGCATCCAAATATGTAGGTACCTCTTACATGTCAGGCATCACGCTGGGGGCAGAGAATACAATGGGAGAAAAACTGGTCAAAGACCCCATCCTTCCAGAGAATGGTCTAGTGAGGGGGACCAGCAAGTGCCACAAAAATAAACTGCAGAAAAAAGTGCTTCCAAGGAGGGGGAAATAGAGTCATGAGAATGTGCAGTGTGGGAAGCTGGAGGATGGATCATGAAGATTTTTGCTTTGACCTGAGGGTAATTAGGCTTAAACTGGGAAGAAGGAAAGGAAGGAAGAAGGGTAAGAGGAAGGAAGAGAGTTCCATGCAGTAACAGAAGCGTATGCAAAAGCCCCTGGAGGGAGGAAGCTGGGCCCGCGGGCAAAGCCACAAAGCAGCCTGTGCTGCAGAAGGCAGGAGGTCAGGGAACACAAGTGAGAGGACAGAGCGGGAGCAGAAGCTGGCAGTGGCCAGACCTGCAGTCCAAGTTAAGGACTTGTCTTTATCTTACCATAAAAAAAAGGAATATAAAACCAAAAGGCTAGCTGTGACCTAGGACAAAGTGGACTGGATCCCAAATCAGAAAACCGGAGCCCGAGTCCCAAGTGCCAGTTCAACCACTGACGGGTGCCTGGCATCCTTAGGCCCAATCTTCACCCCAGCAGTGTGTTCACTGCAGATAGTAATACCCTGCTCGGAGCCTGGCTGTGAGGAATGAACTAGATAAAAAGTATGTGAAATTGCTTTGTAAAGATAAAGTGTTCAGCAAATTAATAGCATTATAAATTTACAGATTTTTTTTTTAACTAAATGCTGGAACATAAACCATGACCTGCTTAAAACCTGTTTTCCTTTTAAAGTCAAAGGCAAATTAAAAAACATGTGACCAAAGCAGTCACAGTTTTAAGAGTACCCTAATACTTGAGCTCACTGAAGGGAATGATATTCACAAAATTCCAAACTTTATTAAAATTTAGAAGTCAACCTGCATTATTACTTTGCAGATGGCAGGCTTCTCAGATGCTTACATATTTCAATATATCAGAATCTTATATTTTAAGTAATCACCATGTAAACTTCCTAAGACAAAAAACTATCCTTGGCATTAATCTAGAACTGTATGTCATCTATTATATAGAGCTTAGAGCTATACTAGACAGATTTAAGAATCTTTATATAAAATTAAACATAAGTACAAGTGGCTCTGACAGTCTCAAGGCAGTATTCTGAAGTTGAATAAAGAAAAGCATAAAGAAAAGAATAACACTTGTGGTTCTTTAAGATATATAAATTGCTGTATTATCTATTAGATTATTGGTGCATGCAGTTCTTATTGTCAAAAAATAGTAAGAAAAAAAAGAGCCAGAGAGGTGCTCTAAAACCTATGTTAGTACAAGTTTAGCTTATTTCTACAACTTGTCATTAACCCTTATCTCTTCCTAAAAGGAAGCTATTAAAGCAATCAAACTTAGACCAAAAACCATAAAATAAAATTATTTTAAAAAAGTATAACTTCTGAGTCATTTATAGTTACAATATACTGTAGGAATCTTCAGAAATTGTTTTAAAAATCAAAATAAAATACTAAAATTTGTTCTCATTAAAATAAAAATCCATTCTTATATACAACCTGCATGGATACAATATATGTTTATAGATCAGCTATCAAAATCAGATGACTTATTAATATTTTCTGACATTAGTACCAACAGAAATATTGGTTTACAGGGGTTGCATCTATTTTAAAAGTTATGCTTCACAAATACATTTCTATTTCAAATATTTATCAGATGAAATTTTATGTCTTTCAGCAATTTCTCCCTCATTGTAAAGAAGCATTTTGTAAAATAAGTGTCAGACTTTTGCATCATTTTTAAAATTTGAAACTTGTATTACATATAATCTCATGCCTAAAACTGCTTTCTTTTCATCAGTCTGATTATAAAACAGCTATTCAGGAATTCCTGAAATACCTACAATTCTTTCTCATTCAATACCAGAAAACTCTTAGAAGCTTAATGAATTGGAGAAACATTACTCTC